AAATAAAACAGTAGGCAACGCATCATTAGATCATTAATTTTTCAAATAGTTAATCAGTCGAAGGTGAGTGCGCTTATTACGTTGATGCGTGCGTGTTGCTGAGGTTTTTTTGTATTATATTTTTTTCAAATACGAAGGAGATGCAGGTAGGTGCGGACGAGGAAAACCTCTCTCTCTCTCTGACGTGAACGGCGGTAATTTTGAAATCGACATCATCAACAATGGGGCTGAGATCTTTATCGGATTTATTTGCCTCCGCAATTAACATTATTTCTTCTCTCGTTTTCGCACGCGAAGAATTGTTTTAATTGTACAAAAAAACAAAAACTGGAACACAATGTGGATATTCATTGACGTCGCGTACGTAATTGTTTTATTCGGACGGAAAACTTTAAGCCAGTTTCTTCTTCGTACAAAGACAAAAGAAATAAACAAAGTTAAACAACATTGCTACAACTACTGTTCTTTTTTGGATAGAAAAAACTGTCTAATGTCATTTGTTTTGTATTTTTGTTTGTTTTGAAAATTCAGATGATCACTTGTGTTTTTGTTGTTGTTGGATAAACTTTTGTTTAATTCATGTTTTATAGCGTCCATTTTTGTTACATAACTACAACATTAATTTGCACTATATACATAATTTAACGAGTTTCTATATTTAAAGGTTAATACACACTACACCTAATCTGAAACGTAAATTTGTCTTTGAGGTGTGCCAGTATTTTAAAATGTTTGTTCGAATAACACAATTTTGCTTATCTGACGTAGTATGTTCGGACCTTTATATTGTTTTGGATTTGTCTGACAGATAAATTATCATAGAAAATGGTAAATTTATTTTTTTAAACGATGATTTTTATTGGAAAATAATATTTATTGTGCATTATTGTCTTAATTTATTCAAATTGCTGGGACGGTAGTTTAAGTATATGCTTTTAAATAGCGATTCAAGACGGAGTAAGACTGAGAGAGCAATTATATTCAAGTACTAATAACAGGATTGCTAATAAAGAACGTGATGAGTCGAAGCAAAGGAAAAGCTGTATTTCTATTGTTACAAAGGTTATACGATTAGATAGCGAATGCGATAAAATCTTGAAGTACGTGTGGCCGCATCATCTCTCCGATTCAGCAAGCAAAGTTTTCCAGTAAAGGGAAATCAAAGACTGCTTACGAACGGGAACGAAAGGCAAAGAAATATGTTAATCAATAACATATCGATGAAATTGATCGATAACTGGTGGAAAATGGCAATTGATTCGCGTACCTAATTCAATTCAATTAATAACACGAAAACAGAAATCCGCCGAGAACAAAATTATTATAATAACGCACTTCGTTTTGCATACTAATCGGTCGCCTTTTACTTTTATTGGCGTTAATAGTAACGATTATGAATGTAAAGAAATGTAGTTTAATAATCGTAAGAACATATTGAATTCGGTGTTGCAATGGTTTACAAAAAAAATAATCATAATCAATAAGTGACCTGAATATTCACATGCTAAAGATAGAAAATGTATATACAATTGCGTTCATTATGCAGAAAATCTTTATAGTTTGCACAAATTAATAAGGAGTATGGATTGCCATTATCCATAATTACTTGAGATTCAAATTAAATTTCGTTTTGTTACTCAAGCTACACAAGATTATGTGTCATAAAAAATAACTATATAAGTGATTGTTATATAGTTCTCATAAGTCTCCAGTACGCATGGGATACATTTGTATCCCACATTAATTACTTGCTTATAGTACACAAAATTTAAGTGTAGAAGAAGCAGAATGTTTTCTTTTAAATGTCTTTACTTTATAAATTAAAAATGATGGGATACATTTGTATCCCACACGTGCACTGCATGATTGACAACAATCATTAAGATTACTGAATTATTCATTTTTACAGAGATAATATTAAGAAATACAAAAGCGAGTTTATTCTCATTATTTAAACACTTTAGCTCCTCGATTAGTTAGGTTTCAGACAAATCCTGAATTGACCATATCTGCTTATATATATTTAATACCGAAGACATCTAGAAATCTAAATACTATTCATGCCTTGACCATCCGTAGCACTTTGATTTCATCACAGAATTGGCAACACAGCCTAGATTTTAACACACTGTATTTGGTGAGTTGTGAAAAATAAAACTAAATCTATGCAAGTTACGATGAAGAAACAATACATTTTGCAATTAATTACAGTAATTTACTTATGTTTAAGTAAAAACACATCTATCTTGACTTTCGTCTAATTCTACAAAAAAAATATCTGTTATAAAATATACTATTGATTTGTTTTGAAATTTTCAATCCGCTCTGTAGTGAATCCGCACAAATCAAAACCGGACTATTCGAGATATTGCAGTATTTAATGTAGGACGTAAATCTATAAATGCATCATGTACTTTCTTTTAATTTTCTTCTCAGTATAAACTCATTCTTTTTTTTTCTACTCAATACATTCCTTTCTAAGAATAGATATATATATATAATAGTAATAACGGCATTTCATTTACTTCATCGCAAGATGAAGTCATTAAAAAAATACCATAAAACACTTTCAATTCTCTATATTTCATATGCAATGAACGTAATTAATACAAGTTTATTTTTTTATAGCTCATCTGATGCTAATTCGTAGCTTACTTACTAATGCATTCGTTTTTATTTATTTTTTTTTATAACAGCGGAATTACGTAAATGTCAAGTTCAGAATAATATGCAACTGGTTCACGAAAATGTCAATCGCAAATGTTTATGCTTTACGGCTTTGCACTAATTAATAGACTTTTTTTTTATACATCTGTTCTATCTGCATTGTGCAGATAAAATGTTAATTTGCGGAATTGTAAAGGATCTTGTTTATGGAGGAAGGGGTCCGAAAACTTCTGGTAAAAGTCGCAATAAATGACAGGAGAAATGACAGCTGTCACCTTGTGTCAAAGAGAGGAACTGGTGTAATACACTTAGCAATTGCGTTGCTCAGCAACTACAAACAAATATGTTTGCGGGGCAAAAGATTCTAATAGATTAATAAATGTCAAAATTAAAATGTTTGTTATGAAAAATATTATACATTTTAAAACTTAAATAAGAGAATCAGTAAATTCCGGTATTGCCATTCCACACGTCTTTCTCTTTTCGTTTCCTTGATACCATTAACCAAAAGTTGTCTGTATTTAGTTCAAGTGCGTTGCCCTTGGACACGTCAGTTGAACTACTCTAAAAAAAAACAATGCTGTAGCAAACGTTTCGATTTGACAGTACAATATAAATTAATATAAACGCCTAACGACCAACGGATATTTACTGCTGCTGAAACTGCAAATGCTCGTCACGTTTATTGCGTTAACCTTAAGAGCATCGCGTTAATAGCCGACATGGAGCCACAATTTATTGCCATTATTGCAACAGAACGAGAGACACGACTCAATTCAAACCCAAATTTGAATTAATATCAATTGGTGCCTTCAGTTTGTTTGTTTGTTGGTGTGCCTGTCAGTTTTTTTTATTTTATTGTGGTCCTCGCATCTCGTTGAATGTATGTAGGACAGAGAGCAAATTGCATAATTTAGCACATTTCCTTTCCAATGAACACTCATTGGAGATTTTTTTGTGGTTGTTTATCTCCTTGACGCATCCAATTCTCAAGAGCAAAGCTTTCAAAGAGCAACAACAACAAAAAAAAATATGAATGTTCTGAATACATAGGCAGCCAAACACACTTCCTTATCAATTAAATTTCAATATACGCCCACTGCGCCAATAAATGCACAAATTTTAATTAACGAATTTAAATTGTTTTTTTTTCGATTTTAAATTTAAATTTCAACCGGAACTGAACCCAAATTTTTAATCGAACCGAAACCGAATATGGAACGATAAACATTTACTTGGATCGTAACCGTAAACCGGAACGAAATTAATTTCGGTTCGACTCTCTGATTTAAATACACCTTGAATACTCCAAATATTCAACTTTCATATGCATCTTTTAGATCCATTCTGTCAATTATATAATGTGAAGACACTAACCAAGCCTAATCTCTAACTTAATCCCTATGATATTCCCATTTTTGAACCAGAAATACATCCAAGCGGATGACATCAAAACAATGTATGAATACTCGCTGTATGCCGTAATTATCCAGCTTCCCTAAGCATTTTTCAGAGCCATTCCAACTATTATAGTTTCCGAGAAAATGACACAAAACTTCATTTTGGAACGTAAATTACAGCCAAACGGATGACACCACAGCAATATATTAATACTCGCTGCATCCCTCAAACATCCAGCTTTCATACACACATTTTGAATCTATTCTGTCTGAGGCAATCTTGTTATTAAAACAAGTTTTCTTTGGCTTTATGTTATTGATGGTGTATTTAATCGACGTAGTTATATAATAGAATTGGTCGATAAATCTGTAAAAACGCTTGTAATATATTTATGAATAACAGGTGCTTCTCTGTTACTCAATATTTTACATACACTAGAATTCTTGTAATATATTAAACTGAACTACTTTCGCAAGGTGAGAAAACGTATTAAATTGTTTCTAAGAAATGTATACTAATTATGAATGAATACAAAAGCTGTATTGATTATATAATTTAATAAATCTATTATATAACAGATTAATAAATCATCATAAGTTCTTAAAAGCATCATTATATAATATTTTCTTATATTTATAAGATATTTTTTTCCATATTAAGTATGGTATTGTAGGAATTAAGTCGTTCTGATCTTTTGTATAATTTGTTATGATAGTTTCGTCGAATAATCTAACTATAATTATATAACTCGTACGCTATTAAAGGAGCATTAACTAACATTTCCGAACTCGTAGTTGGAGTTGTCTAACTGTAATCTGAAAAGTGAGCTTAAATTAACAAATTTGTAATAAATCTATTATTTGTTAATTTAAGCACACTTTAACGTATTGGGAGCAAATGGAAACGATTTGATTGATTATAAAATAAATTTAATGATCGTAAATAAAAATGAGGAAAATAAACAAGATAAAAATTAAGTAAAAACAACACAGCCGCTGAAAGAGCAAACTTCTTCTTTTTTTCTTTTCTTTTCTATACATAAATCTGAGCAAAGTAAACCTAAGATTTCGTTTTTGTTTCGTTCGTACACTCGTTCCGAGTTTTCAGCTTGCCAAAAAATGTTTCTCCTGCTGTAAGCAAGGTAGAGCATATTGATTCAAATCAATTTTAAGAATTGAAATGCTGCATCAGTCCTGCCAGCAAACTGTGCAGGCCGGCATTGTAATCGATAGTCACTTCGTTGTACAAGTATTCCTCCCTGACGTCCTCGTAATGGTCAATTTGGCTCGGACCGCTGACCAGAGCGCCGTACAGGATCTGCGGGTTCGGTTTCGTTGACCTGAAGTCGTCCCAATTGCAAACTGCGGGTAAATCCTTGCACGAACTGAAATAAAATTTTTGAAATCATAATCATAAATTATGAATTGTACTATATTATAAACTGTATACATTTTCGTGGCCCACTATTATAAAATTGAAAATTGAGAAGATGTCTCCCAAGTGAGAATGTTTTGCAATCTACGAAATGCAATGAATAAAAAAAAATCAGTAATAGTGTAGAAATCTTAAACCTAAACTAATAGAGTTAATTTGATTGAAGATATCAAAACACTTTTGTATATTTATATATAATTTCGCGTCCACCCGGTTAAGAATGGCTTGCTACAGTGAATCCGCACTGATCGATACTAGAATTGAATCAAACAAGCGAGGACTTACCTAGCTGCATGATGCGGCTGCTTCGGATATGAATCTCCGTAACCGACTAAATAACTGAAACCTGTTGAACCTAGGATGTAGGCCGCCTGATCCTTCGCCAGATTCACGTACTTATCCTCTGGTTTATCAAAATTCGAAGCCTGCAATAAGATTTATATTAGATTCAACATATTTTTCAATATCAACTTCACCAATGTTCATACTTGCAAGCAAACGTAACTGATGCTGGCCGCATGTGCTAACGTTCCCAATTTATTGATATAAATCAAACCTTTCGGCGTTTTATCCATACCGTCAACCGCGAAATCGCAGAATTCTTTGATGGCCTGAACGTATTCCTGATTCTTGAATTCCTGCGATAACAATACCTAAAAACAAATAATTTTGTATAATCGTCATATTGAAATAAAAATAATAAAACAATATATAAATGCATCAATACCTCGCATAGTGCGACTTTGATCAGTTCGATTAGTGCGATATCAAACAGAAGCGATTACTCGCACCATGCGGGGTATTAGTTTCAGGTAGTCCTAGATTTCAATAATTAGTAAAGATGAAACTGAGTTAATTAAAATATTGATTCTACAATTAAAACGTACCTGAATTCCTGCATATTTCGAGTTGTAGAAGAACGTTTTCGGTTTTTGGTTCAAATTGTGTTCGGTGTAGAGTGTCTTCGCTATTTCCGCGTATTTGGATAATCTCGTCGCTTTGTAGAGCCAAATTGCGGCCCAAGCTAATTCATCGTAATAGTCGTCATTCCTTAAATACAATTACAACGAAAAATATAATTTATAGACTTGCAACTAAATAAAGAAGAATATAAATTTATGCAATGAAACAATAATTACATATAACATTTTTTTTGTGTGATTGTGCTAGCTAGCAACGTTCAAGTTCACCGGCCACGTGCAGTCATGTGAATTGAATTGAAATAATGGTCTTGGCTATTTTAGGCACGTTCGCATTAAAATGTTGTTAACACCTGTTTGTTTACAAATCTCGAAAAGGTAATGGAATTGTTGGATTTGTCAAGTTGTAATTGGCATTCGAATTATGCGGTCTTTTACGCTACAAGAATATTGAATACTTCTAGTAAGACTTTTATAGATTCAGAAATTTGACCTTTTTTGTTAATTCGCTACTTCAAATTTGAATGCGAAATAAATGAAATGTCAGTAAAAATTGAATACTCAAATATTCAACTTTCACATATGTCTTTTGGATCCATTCTATATATTATAGTTACTGAGAAAATCAGTAAAATGTGAAGACACTGCTTTTTCGAGCATTAATTGTTAATTTATTCAAATTTAAACGCTTATTACAGCATAATTAATGAAAATACAGGGATTGAATTTTCCAAATATTCAATCATATGCATCTTTTGGATACATTCTATCTATTATAGTTTCTGAGAAAATCACTGTTTTTCGAACGTTAATTTTTCATTACTTCATTTGTAAACACGAAGTACAACTAAATGGATAAAACTGGAAATTAAAGTTTAGTTCTAGGTATATAATTGCTAGTACTAATATCTATATAATTCTACAAATTTGGACATGTGTATGTGAAAACCGCAGACCGCGTTCAGAAATAATTGCTACATTGTGCAGCATATATACAAGTACAATTTTATATTTACATCGACGTTATTTGTAGGATTTAATCCAATCGTGCAAATGACTGCATACATTATTATGCAACACACATTCGTTTGCAAATGTTTATTGTAATTGTAATTGCGGATTCACTTTTGAACATTTCAAAACAAACTAATTTTTAAGTTCAGTACAAGTTATTTTATCTTATTTTCGTGCAGTTTTAAAGTCCACCATGCGATTTTTTTATTAAATAAACAACATATAATGTGCACAAAATGTATAATCAAATAAGCGCACGATTTCTCGTGTGACGTAAATTGGAAAATATCACAAAATATCACGATTGTTTATGAACATCAAAAGCAGAGAGATCTTGTAAATGTAAATGTTGATTTCTTTTTCCCATCAAAGCATGACGCATTTTGTTGTCGCAAATAAAAACAAGAATGTATTACTTTTTTTAACGGTATAAAACCTCTTACTATAAGAGAAAAAAAAAACCCCAACAGAATAAAAAGTATTTTTGTTACATAATGATTTTAAATTATTTAATACTTATATATAAAGCGGGCGTTGAAATTTAATGAAGAATATTTTAAATATATCAATCTGATTGTCTCATAACTTTAGTAAAAAAAAAACTGTAAAATATTGATTTTGGATTTACAAATGTTGGCTTTTAATTGAAAAATTAGATGTATGAGACTTACTCGTGGTAATGTTTGCTTCCTGGGAATGTGTCGAGGAATAATCCTCGGTATTCATAGGCGAAATCGAAGAGTTCCGTGGAATGTCTGATGAGTTCGTGCGAGTAGTCAGGATCGATTTTCTGGAAGACTATGCTGGCAGAGGCCAAAGCGGCCGCAGCTTCAGCTGCGACATCGGAACCCGGTTGATCCTTATCAATTTTATGCGCCGGTCTCGTCATGTTCAACTCTTCGGGTCTCCCCCAGAACTTGTGATCGCTGGGGAAGTCTCCCACCTGAGCGTAGAACTCGAACGGAGCCGTGTGACACTTGATAATGTAATCCGTTCCCCATTTGATGGCCTCCGCCGTCGCGTTGTGCTGTCCAATCCTCCTGTAAGTCTCCTCGTAGGAGACAAGTCCCCAGGCCAGAATGGTCATCGAGTAGGCTATCGTGAATCCGAACTTGACAAAGTCCGCGGCTAAAAATTACATGTTTAGATTTAGTTTCAGGTGTTTCTTTCGTTCAAGTTTACCATCGTAATAGCCGCCGGTAAGATCTTCCCCTTTAATCCCTTGATCGTTTAGAGCGGAATCGCTTCGCCAACTAATTCTGTTGCTCTCTGGAAGAATCCCCGATCTTTGGGCCTCGTAGAATAGAAGGGAGAGTTTCAGGGCTTCCTTGTAATTGTATCCGGCTGTTACCGGTTGTGAGGAGATCCGGGCGGACAGGATGATCGGGATTAGGATTTTCGGGATCAGCATCCTAGATCGCGCGCGACTTTTCCTCTTCCTGGATTTGGTTCTTCTCTAGATTTGTTTATTCGAGATGGTTTTTTTTTGCCGTTCGGGGAATTTTGCCCCGGATGCGCGTCGACTGGAATACGTTAGGAGAGTACGAGTCGAGTACTTTTTTTTTGTTCTCTCTCACCTTGGGAAGGAATGAGCGTTCGAACGATTCTGCCTCATGCTGGCCTGATGTATTACTGCTGCTGCTACTGCTAGAGCTCCGAAAACACTTTCGATTTGTGCGATGTGTGGAATATATAAAATGTTATTCGATTTGCGCATCATTTGCTTAGTGACAAACTGGTTGGAAATGCTGTTGCAGCCGCCGCAGCCGAGAGACATGCGCCAAAATGTTCAGATACGTATGATGTATATATATTCTAGGTCAAGAATGTAATTTGCGCTACCTTTGCTTTACGTAACTAAACCTGTGCTTCGATTATTACCACACACGCGCTATTCGTTCCACATTAATTTTCGCATTTTTTTTTCAACGCTTCGCCCCAAAACAATATTGAAATTGTAATACAATAATACCTCGTATAGTGCGGATAGTCGGTATCGGTACAAAAAGAGACTTGATACACAGTCACATAGGGAAAAAACTATTCTCAAATAAAATTTAGTTTGTTTTGAAATTTTCAAACAGAACTATAGTGAATCCGGACTATGCGAGGTATTACTGGATATTGAAATGCAGTACTGATATCAATTACTGTCATTCTCGAACTATACGAGGTATTTCTGTTAATTGCAATACATTAACATATTTAAAATTTTATGCTTAAATCATATAATAAGTGAATTATAGTGATTTAGATTACAAAAACGGTTTCAAACAGTGCGATTACCCGCACTATGCGAGTTATTTCTGTACAAGAAATGTATAACTCCATTGATGTTAATTGCAATACATAAACTTACATATAATTAGATTTTTTTTTGTAAATTTGTTATCATAATTATAATAAAAATCAGAATTCTTGCTTTAAAAAATCATCTAGTACGTTTAAACAATTGTTCTAAAATTTAAAAATTTCATTATTTTTTATTTTGTTCACTTGACTCACTTTCAAATAAGCTGAACCGGATTTTATAATGTTCCAAAAATTATTTTCTTTTCACTCCAACTATTTTAAAACATGATTTAAGCAAATCTCATTTGTACTTGTTTAAAATATTTGATATGTATTGAAAAATAACTGTTATTTATGTAAAGACAGTTAATAATTATTCATGTTTTAATTACTTTCAAATATTCTTTACTTAATTGACTTGTAAATTTTGTGTAAAAGTTTTAAAATTGTTTTTTTTTGCAGAGACACGGAAAGTTTTCAACTAATTAAAAGTGTAACACTTTGATGTTGTTCATTAGGCTGCATATTTTATGAACGTTATAATTGTGTTTACTACAAATTAAATTGTACGTATTTCTTGCTTACGTTTATAAATGTTTCGTTTATAAAGTAATATTTACTAAAATAACAATTATTGACCTACACGATTATATGTAAATGTATTTTTACGTGTTTGTAATGATTTACATAGAATTTCACGAATATAAGAGATTACTCCATTAGTTATATATAAAAAATACATTTTATAATAACCAAAATAACTTAATTAATAGTACAAAAACAATTAGATTAATGGATTAACTTATTATATAAAATGTGTACGTTTGTCTCTCTGTTATATTAGAATTACTAGAGAGTAATGTTAGAAGCCACTGGTCAACCACACAGCACATTATTCTCTTGCCCCTAAAATCTAGAGAGCAGAGAAATAGTGGTCTTCTCGGTGATTTGTAAAGGTGAAACAACAAAGTTTCTGTTCTGGTAACGGGCACTGAACTGGGGGATTTCACTCTTAACAGAGTTCATGTGAAGATCGTTGTGTATCGTGTCGTTCGTCACGTACCAGGGGGCCTGCACCAGGGTTCGCTGGCACTTGGACTGGAAGCGTTGCAGGATCTCGATGTTGGAATTGCTGGCTGTTCTCCAAAGCTGGATGCCGTACGTCCACACCGACTTCAGCACTGTCTTTGTAAATTAATAGTTTGTTGTCGAGGGATAGTGGAGATCTTTTTCCGATCAGCGAATTGATGCCCAGTTGCTTCCTTTTGGTTGCGACCACAAAATATACTGTGTAAAATTTGTAATCGAGATTTTTATAATGTGGAAATGGGGAAGTGGTTGGGTAACCGAAACCCGAAGGCGCGTTTTAACGAGTAATCTGAATATACTAGTATAGTATTTCGTTTTGAGAGTATACACTTGGGATGTTCGCCGAGGAAATTGCATGGATTTATAGTCTATGATGTATATATTTTATCTAAGTACGTGTCTCGCATCTTGATAATAGAATAAAATGCATGCACATTTTTATAACATTTTCATAAATTATTTTGAGAACAAAATCTATTGTCGGTAATGATGAAATTAGACGTTCAAAAAATTGATCACTGAAAATTGTTAAATTGAAATTCTAATTTTGTTGCAGCGAATCATTAACGTTTGAAAAAGTTTTTTTTTTTTTGGTACAGTAATTTAGGCAACTCATATTACATTTAAAAAATATACGAATAACTATTTACAAAAAAAAAGTTGTTCCTTTCATGACCAATTTCATTAAAATTCCATTAAGTTGCATTTAAATCATGTTATTAACTTTAATTGCTTAATTGATTGTAAATGTATTGTAAGAATCACATAAAATGTTTAAAATATTTTATTATATATAAAAAAAAAAGAATGATACAATTTATTTCCTTAAGCATATAAAGTGTGCCAATTTAAACAAAACAAAACAAAAAAAATGTATAATAATACTAAAAAATAATTGTGATTGATTGATCGATGAGTTTGAAATATTGTGTACGTTGAGCAGAATCAGTCGATGGCCAATTGCCTGAAGCTACCGTCCAAACCGAACAGATCGTCGTAATTGGTCGGTTTTCCTGGACGTTTCGATTCGTCGGCCTTAACGGATTCCTGGGCGAGGAACCAGGGCTGGTATTCCTCCAGTTTTTTCATCCAAGCATCTGAAATTGATTGAAAAGAAGTTATTAATAATAATAATGGATTCATATATTGATTGAGAATTTACCGTGGAAATCTTGGCATTTGCCTGCGGTGCCGCCGTACTCTGCAGGCAGAATGTCTTTGGGGATCATCTTGTGCAGAGACTCGTAGTCGTTGTGCACGTGGATGCGGTTGCGGATCTTCTCGGTGAGGAACGGTTTCACCCAGTTGATGATCGTGTCGATGATCGGGGAAATGTTGACGACGTGCACTTCCTTCAGCTTCACCGGGTACGCTTCCTGGACGATGACTAGGAACTTTTTCACGATCGACGGGGTGACTTTCGAGAAGTGAGCTGGCGTCACGATGCTCGCGTCCATGATGTAAACGTCTCCGGCGACGCCCGTCTCTTCCGCATCCAAACGGATATCACCAATCATCAAAACGATCTTCATCGCGTCGAAGATCGACGGGGCTGTGATCGACTTATCGAGACCTCTCATCACGATCACACGTCTTCCATTCGGAGTTAGACCGGGCAATGGAGGAATGTTCCTAAAAAAAAGAGGAAATGAACGTCAAAAACTTATTAAAATCATATTAATCAAACAAATATCAACAAATTATCTTTGAAAATTAAGTGAAATATGTAATAATTATTGTAATTGTAATTAAATCCAATTGCGATTCCATATAATGTAATAAGTTATTACTTTTGGTGTCAATTTATTTTGTATAAATTTTATTTGAATGTCAATAAAAATTTAACGTTCCAAATATATTCCACAATTTTTACATTCAAAGATTTATGAGATTTTATAAAATTATTATAGTAGATCTAAAGTTCATTTAATAGTTAATTATAGTTTAAATGCAAAAGAAATATTATGGATAATTTAGATTTTATAAAAATACAATCTATTTTTTCTATAAATTTAATGTTGGCAGTCATTTTGTGTGTGTCTGAGTGTAACTTTAATATGAATGTCAATAAAAAATTGACGTTTCTTAGATATTTGACATTTCCAAGGTGAATATAATTTAATGGTTTCCCCTATTGAAAATGAAAATTATGGTATAGATCTTTGGAACAATTAAAAGAATTGGTTAAAGTTGAAATGCAAGCGACATAAGAATAGTATAGACATTTTTTCAAATCCATTCTTTTTCATTTTATAAGTTAATATTGTATCTGTCATTTTTATATATGTGTGTAAATTTGATTGAAATTGTCAATAAAAAATGACTTTTCTAAGACATTTGATGATTTTCCAATTGTTGATATAGAGATCTAAGTCAATTAAAGAAGATTAGTTAAAAATAATATTGAATGCAAAAAAAAATACAATTTGCAATCTATAAAAAGTATTAATAAAACATAAAATTATTGACCTATATTTCGTTTCCAAATAGATACACGAATAATTTAAAGCTAGTGGAAGCATAATTTATTTACGGACTTATTTTTTTTTTGATTCCTGGAAACGTGCAGACTTTCCTTTTTCTTTCTGATTTTTCATCATAAACCAATCAATAAATATAATATTAGCATTATAAAACGTTGAATTATTAAGAAATGGACAGACACGTTTCACGAAGATTCTAATTGAACGAACTATGTAAATGATTAATTGTATCTGTAATTGTTTTACTGTGAAAAGAAATATGTTAGATTATTATGTGTTTCACATTTCGAGACGTTTACAAGAAACATTTACGTTGCAGTTGATTGGTAAATGTGTATGGGGTGTCCCAGTAAAAACGTCAGATTTATTTTTTTTGTATAAACTTGACAAATCGACTAGAAAAAAGTCATATGCCATTTGTTGATCTTGCAATTAGTAAATATGAAATTCTGCACATAATAACAACGCGTTATTATGAGCGGCGGATATATCCGCCCTATCCTTTCGCTTATGCAAAATTATATAGAACGAACATTTGTCCATTAAAAATAATGCGTTTACTTCGAAAATTCAATTATTGGGATACCAGATTTGTGTATTTTATGGATGTCACGCAACGGCCTCCATTAGCAGCGCGCAACGATAGATGCACTAATAGCGATGTGCGTTTACTTTAATAATTACAAGGAAGCGTAGCAAAACTTTTCCTTATTTCCATTATGCTTACACATATTTAACGATCTCCTGCAGCTCGGGTTTCCTGATGTCCCTGTTGGTGAACAGTTCGGGACAAGCCGTCCTCATGGTAAAGTACATGTCCAGCTTTTTCTTGCATTTCTCTAAAGAGAACTTGCAACCACGGAGGAAAGTCAAAATGCGATGTTCGTCTGCAAAAAAAAAAACAAACATTTAATCGTTTGTTAATTCAATAATGCCGGAAAGTTGAGGATAGGTGGCGTGGAAACGCTGACATCTGTCAGGCGCTTGTTTTTCTCCATTTTGAATTACATTTCAATAAATTAATGAAAGCGATCGATGCAGACTATAAGCGTTTCCGAACAAGATGAATACGAAATAATGAAATGATATCGAATATAAGCGTTGAATAAGTTAGTAGATGCGCTCGCTTTCTCTCTCTACCTACCCCAGGTGTGTGGTAAATGGGGTTGCTTCGCCAACCACTCCTTCATATGCTTAAGATCCGAGTCTCTGGTGTTGACGTCCTCGTTGAGTTCCTTCCTGATCATCACCTGCATCGCAGCGTCCGGTTGTATCAAAGCCATGGTTAAATTTGATGATCTGAAGAAAAAAAAAACAATACCATCATTGGATTAGTAGGGTGCAAAGGTTGTCGGGGTCAAAAATCTTCATTTGCTTGGAACGAGTTTTCGCAACAAACCGTTTTTTAACCTTCACGGAATTGAACTTCGGTCTAAAAATAGTAACGGACATCTTTGATATTCCTTCTTCGATTAAATTTGTTAATTGTTTTTCAAGCAAAAATCGAATAACTTTGATTTAGTCGATTCATTATGCACGCAATCAATAATTCTAATAATCAACGTTCATTATGTTCATACGTAAGTAAAGACTATATCCCTGTCTGCCCTCTAATTATCATAATTTTATAAACGATATCTTTGTTAAACGCTTGAAATAATTTTACTAAAGTTAAAATTAATTGAAATAGTACGGCTATTTGAAACTGGAACAATCGAGAAAATGAATACAAACAAAAATAAGATACTTGACTGTATTAAGATTAATTTCTTATACTCATGTTTCTATAACTTATTTTAAAGTTTACTCAATTCAAATGTAGATTCTTTTAAAAATATGTTGACTATAGTATTTGAAGCCGGACTGTGCAAGGTATTGCTGCATATTTGATAGAGAAAAAAATTTGTTGCCTAATTTTGTAATAATACTGAAAATATTATTAATATTTCTTATACGAAAACAACTAATAAAACATTAGCTCTGACTGAAAAATGTGTATGATAATTCTGCACGTGAAGAATAATATTTGAAGGTGAATTTATATATTTTTTTGTAGTTGTTGTTGCATTTCGGTATGCTTCACTCATACAAATGTCTAGCTGAATCTGCAATTCGCCGCTGTTCCGAATTCAGAAAAGTAAACATTTTCAGAGTTGTTTTTGCGAATAAAATAATCACGTAAAAACACAATATTTATTCTGTTGTTCCTACACTTCTCTTCTTATATTAATAACTAAATATTATGTTAAACCCCATCATTAGCATTACTATTATTACAATACACTAATTAGTCATTTTTTAGATGTTATATAAAGAGAAATTATAATTTCATTGTTATAAAATCGTTGTGTATAATAAAATCGAGTATTTTCGATCAAAAAGTTTTGTTTTAAATTAATTGAAAATAAGATTTTTTTAATGTGACAACTATACAAGAAAACATAAATAATTCATCGGCAATTACGAAATAGAAACCTACGCCTGACCCACAGATTATATTTTTTGATATATGAAAAGAAATCATTATAATTTCAATAAAGTTTGTAAAATGTGTGCGTTACGCAATTTCTCGCATAAAATAAGTTTGAAAAAATCACTAATGAGATCAATATATACAATTATGTAAAAACTAATTTAAGATTTGGTATGTTTTGCCTTGATCTTTCACTAAATCAAATGACTTTTAATGCAAATTCTTAAATTTTAGTTTACTAAAACTAAAATAAAGCAATACCTCGCATAGTGCGGATAATCAGTTCCACCCGTAATAATTGAGGACTTTAAAACCGAGACTAGATGTTATAAAGAAAATTAAAAAAAAAATTTAGTGTACTAATTTTTTTAGTATACTATTTTTTTTTTAATGTGCTCAATTTACGTGTTTAGTTTTAGTTTTGTTGAAATTTTCAAACTACATAGTATACGTACTAATCGAAGCCGCATTATGCGAGGTATTGCTGTTTGAATTAATCCATTATCAAGTAATCTGTGTCACAAACAAAAGATGCGTTTACGTTCCAATTACGCATAATCTGAATTAGCGAACAATAATTGTTCGCTAATTCAGGTCGTAATTCATTGTTTAATCAAATACTTCAATTGAATGGAATGAACACATTTCCTCAATTCTTTTAAACTAAACAACTAGATGATCTATAGTAACAATTAATTGTACTTAAATATGAAAAATCGCAAAAGTTTTTTCAATTAATTTAGATTACTAATTGAAAACGTGTTTCAATTTTCAATAATTAACAATTTTGAATTGAGTTGTTCGTCGGGTAATTGAAATACCAATAATTTAGTATCAAATTGAAATTAATAATTGCAATTCGTCGATTAAAATTTCCTTTTATTCCATTCATTATTCACAGTTATTACCTTTATTCAATTACTTAACAATTATCACAGTAGCCATGATAATTGCGAGTTTAAAAATTGAAATGATTTATTATGAATGTTGCACGTCATTCGCATTGAAGATTCATCGTAATTAGAAATTAACAGCGTCAAAGTCAGGATATTTTTCTAAAGCGAAAATTGCCTGCACATTCCACTATTCTACTAAACTAGTTTCTAATTTGTATATATTGATGTAATAAGTTTTTAATTACGAAAGTAATTAATCAGGTGACAGGTAAATTGTCATTGTCATTGAAGAATAGGCCAGCTACGATTTCGAAAGTGCTTTTTGTGAAAGGGAAATAAGAGTGCCGGACACAATTATTATTATTGTTATTATTCTATTATTGCATTAACGGTAAGGTGGAAAACCTGTCTGGAAAATGAAAAGAAAATCTGTTTAGTAATAATTTTTTTTTCTACACAATGCGTAACGAAAATATACCCGATTTCGCAATTCGTCGACTTTCTAACGACATGTGTTTGAAGAGTCTGCATCAGCATCATCGGAGAGAAAGTCAAGTGCCTTCTCTCTCTCCCCACTCACTCGCTCACTAACTACTCTTAGAATTTAGAATTATCTTCGCTCTGATTGTGAACGTGCACAAATACATATTCCCAATTAAAATGCAACACTTCGATGATCCTATTTTCTCTTTACAAACAAATTATGAGATGCGCTACACCTTGTTCCTCTCAATTACAGACAAACTGAACTTTGTCTTAATCATTATTTTCGAAAAAAAAAGAAACAACAAATTATTAATTGATACGTGGAATTACAACATCAAATTTCCAATCTTAAAAAATACTTACTTAATTTGAGTAAGTCACTTAAGTAGTCACGCACTCAACAAAACACTTAAACTATTATCACAATTGTTAGCAACTGTTCGGGTGCTTTACATAGAGCATAAAACAACTGAATGTGCTAGCATCCGTCTCGCTAGATCTTATAGTAACTTTTACGCTTTGCTAAGTACGATCTCGACCAATGGTGGGACGTCACCGAGCGACTTCGACCAATCGTATTGCCGGACTCAGCCGACTTTCTCCAATCTTGCTGCGCGAGTCCCGTTCCCTATTTTATTTATTTCTTCTTCTCATCCTCGCAATATTTATACTTCTTGTTTGAGCGCGACAGCACGCATTGTTTTAATCGTCGATTGTTGCTTGTATTCGAATTGTTGTTACACGACGAAATAATAAATAAATACGGCAAACGACCGGCGGTCAGTTAGTCGAGTCAGCGGCGACTCTTGCACAATCCGCTCACTATTAGTGCACTTAACCAGAGCATGTCCAATCGTTTTTTTTTTGTTTGTTTCTTTTTACTCGAGAACAAAAGAAATCATTTCCTATCGACGTTTTCCTGCATTTCGGGTTACACCTTCTTGCGTAATTTCACCGCACCGCAAGGACTTCACCTTACCCATACTTTAAACAAATCTATTTTTAAATAAACTTTATGTTTACTGGGTTGCATAATCCATTGTTTTTGTTTACTTTTATACGACATTGAAAATTTCATTCAACCTTATTTTCTTCAACTAATTTCGTGAACAATGAACAACTACATTTTATTTGATTTATTAGATATCCAAGATTTGAACTTTGAATCGAGATTTACATATTCTACAAGTGCTCATAGCTCAACCTATGGGTTACGTTATTTTTTTAATGACAGCTGTCACCTTGCGTCAAAATGTCAATTGTTTTTATGTTATAAACAATTGGATCGCATCTACAACTGCAAATAAATATGCTGTCGCGCAAAATGACAGCTGTCAAAACAAAACGTACTTTTAATATACTTTTGAATTATTCATATTAAGACTGAAATAACAAAGCTTATTTACTAAATTTTAAACGTGAAATTGATGAAGATTTTGATAATGTGCTATTTTTTTTATTATTTTATAAAGCAATCTATCTAGAAGCAAAAGATAGAAAAACAGATAACAAGCTTTAGGTTTTGCTTTAATTAAAGAAAATATAAAAGTGTATATTGGAGATTGATCCAGCGACCAAACTCCATAGAATGCTTATAAAAGTAAAACTCACGAACACATACACGCGAATAAGTCTTATTTTAAATTTAGTCGTCACTAACACTAACTCAAAAGCGATTGGGGAGGTTTAAAGCGTCTTCGTCGGTGAGATTCAGAATCTGTTAGCTCAGAGGCAAGTTGTTTTGGATGGTCCTCCAGCCGATGTTGGTATTTACTGCTGAGTTCCGTTATCTCATCCTTTAGAAAACTGACTCCAGTGTATTGGTGTATGTACTCATTAGTGGTGAACCAGAGAGCATTGGCAATTACTCTGAGCGTTTTTGACTGGAACCGCTGTATGATATCAATACTTGTATTACAAGCAGATCCCCACTTACAACTGCGGGATCCGTAGGTCCATATCGGTTTTATGATTGTTTTGTATATTAAAACTTTGTTTTCCATAAGCCAATGTAATCATTTTACTGTCAGTCCCATGTGTTTTCTTTTTGTTGTGATATGTTTTTTCCAGGTGAGTCGACGATCCAGATGCATGCCAAGATACTTAGCATCATCAGCCTGTGGTAGGGCACTGCCATTCAGTGTAACCGGTGGACAAGTTTGTCGACGCATTGTGTACGTTACATGCACTGACTTCGTTTCATTTATCTTGATTCTCCACTTTCTGAACCAATGTTCGATACTATTCAGACTTCTTTGGAGTATCTGTGAGGCCGTAGTTCGGTTTTGATGGGATGCTAGAACAACAGGTTCATCAGCGAATGTAGCTATAGTGGCGTGCTGAAGAGTTGGTTGATCAGCCATGAAGATCAAATAGAGTAAGGGTCCAGATACACTTCCCTGCGGGACACCAGAGAGGATTGAGCGAAGCGAGGTCACTTCCATTAGTCCGGTTTCAAATAGTGTGTGGAAACCAGTATATGACGAATTACTGCAGTATTAAGAATATACTATTAGAAACTTCGTTTTTAAATTCATTGACGTTAGTGCATTGCAAACAAATAAACTTCAAATTAGAAGCTGTCAAAGTTGCAAAAAGTAATTTTAAATGCTAGTATAATAATAATATTTTCATTGACGTTTTTACATTGTTCTCGCGTGTTTTCCAAGAAATACTAATTGCGCTTTCCAAAAATTGTAAAATGGCAAATTGCTCACGCATTAAATGCGTTTTAATACAGTACAATTTCTAAAAGGCATAGAAAGCGTTTCCATACGTAATTAAACTAAAAATAATGGAAAGAAACGGATGATAATAATAATAATAAGAACGATCGGGAAAATTTCTTTTTGTGCGCGCACCAAACAATAATGATGATGATTACAATGATGACTGTACAGCTATGTCCAATTTGATGCAACCTAATTGGTTCGGCAGACTGTTTATGTCGGTCTCGTCTCGAGCCCGTAATTAACGCATTAACAATTAATAATATTCGCGTCACGGTGTGATTTCGCTTCTTCGTCGGAAATTCTCGATGCATTTGTATGTGTATCCGAAAGATGCATCATTTATGATGCACTCATGCACAGATGTTCCAGAAGGATTGTTCCTTAAAAATATAAAATAAAACGTTATACTTAGCTGGATTTTCTCATGGCTTGAATAAATTACAAAATGATTTAGTGGAATAATCATATTCAGTTTACGTGCGTTAAAAATGAATTTAAAATGACAGCTGTCACTGTCAAATTTTTTGTTATATAAACAATTGAGTCGCAGTACAACTAGTAACATAATACGTTGGGTCGTGAAATGACATCTGTCACTTTACGTCAAAATGTTTGTGTACAACTGCAAACAAATACGCAAAATGACACCTGTCACCATTTACTAAAGTTTACAAATACATTTAAATAACAAAATTATTTTGCCTTATTCTTCAGGTTTTAATATATTTTGGTTTTATTTCATTATTATTATGTTTAAGATTTATATTGCTCATCACAATATACAGCATTTGGTGCAACATATGGTTAATAGCAGAAATAGGTAGACAATTGTATAGAACCATATGTTAGACAACTAGTAAATTTACAAATTTCAATATTTATTAATTATTTCTATTCTATACAGAACAATAGCTGTAACCGATTAGTAAGTAAAAGCACACACGTTTTTTTAGTTGTTTTTATACAAATAATATTCCAATCATTGTTTTCTATAAAAAATGTAATTACATTTCTTTCATGTAGAAATTTGACAAAAAGAAATTTCAAGAATTGTATAATTGAAATTTAAGTTCAAACCAATTGCATCGACTAATATACAATAATTTATTGTGCCGATTCTGGTAGAGTGTAATTTCGTTTAAACTTTGAACGTTAAATATCGGGCGGAGTCTGTGGCCTCTTGTTCTCAAAGATACACGAGAGTCCTCTGACGAATCTTCGATTATGCACACACACACTTCGTGAGTCACTCGAGACAAGAAGTCTAACTGTGTCAGTTAGAAAGTTCCTCCCTTCTACTACTTGAGATTATTATTGTAAATTAGTGTTGGATCTCCAACACGAAATTATAATATGATTATCTATGAAAAAATAAGTGAAATTATGTAACTTTCCATATAATAAACTTTATTTATTATTGGCGAAGGATTAACACAAGTGTTTACTTATTAAGTTTATTACTTGGTACTTTCATGATAACAAATGTGAGAAGCGGAATGTTCATCGTGTAATTATAATTCCCAGGGTATTTCTCGAGGTTCTCCCCTGTCACCACTTCGTTTTGGTTCAAGATTTTAGAATAATGTTTTTTTTTGTATACACTTTTGTTCTAAGATTACTTTTCCTCCCAGACAAAATGACGCAGAAATAATTGACATTGACACCGTTTAGTTATATAAGTGTTAACGTTCTCTAAATATTAAAAAAAAAATCAATTAAAATTTTGAATTAATTCAATTTTTAACACACAACACAAAAAATGTTTCCATTGACATAATAAAAACTAATTTTCACACTACTTTTACGCTGCATTAAAATGTAATCTGTTGTTGGATAATAAAAAGTCGTAGATCTTAAGGTGCCGTTATACACTTGATGTAACGAGTTTAGAAGAACAGCGCTGATCCAAGGTCTTTGTCAAGGTCAATGAATTAACGCACGTCTGAACTGTAGACATTCCGAATAACGTTAAATATGTCACGAAATCAGTAGATATTTTATAATAAATTTGCTACTATGCTAGAAAACGTTTAACTAAATTATTTTATAAAAGAAATCTTTTACAAGTTATAGTATTCTTTGTATAAAATCTTAGTTATCACAGTGTTTATAACTAGAATTCTGACAAAATATTTTACGAACATTACCAAAAAAATTATAAAGAAAGATTGAAAATACACGCAAATATTCTTTGTCTAAACCTATAAGATTGTATAATTACGAACAAAACATTCGAATCATTAATTAGCATCAATTTACTTTGTACGTTAATTATAAGTAAATGTATCGATTTTGCACAAGTTGTGAAGAAAACATGGAAAATTGTATATAAATAAATATTACCAAGAAGCAAATTAAATTTGTTAATTAATAGATTATAAATGAAGAGGAAAATAAATAAATAATTGTTTCAATGGTAAAAAATAACAAATAAAAACTGTAATTAATGTTTAATTGATTTGATATTAAAAACTGTAATTGTTTCCTTTTTCCAATTAAATTATTGCATTCGGACTTAGAAGTAATTTGAAACAAACAAAAAAAAAACTGGATCTATCAACAATTTTCCAGTTACAAATTTACAATGATGCAAACCGCTGTGTCGTAATGTATAATATAATGATGATTACAAAATACAGCAAGCAGTGTGCGATCAAACAGCGATCTTTCGACTTTGAAGTGCGGAAGTCGTCATCAACTTTCTTCATCTCGCAGCAGCAGCAGCAGCACCAGATGAATCGACATACTTGTGGAATGAATCACGCGTACGTTTTTTTTTTTGTTCCATGGAATTTGTACCAAAAAATAAAACAGATTAGTATGAGGTGGTTTGTCTTATTCAATTGAATAATAGATGCGTCCAATAATTCTATAATCGATGCGGTTGGGGGGAGGGGGCTTGAGGATGGCATCTTCTTGCAGAGGGTTGGGCAGTAATTAATGCATAATTCAGATAAACCATAAGGATCGTTCGTGAATTATGAAGTCCTGTGAGAACACGGACAAATGGATTGGGTGGATCGGATGGCCTTCCTCTTCAATCGATGCGACATTCCTTATTATTGGTCCACGAAATGACTTTCCGTTCTTTTCTATTTGTGCCCGTACCCCTGAACATAAGTCACCCCCAGTCCATCAACGGCCAGTCGAAACGCGAAGGTCTCAGGTGCAACACGTTCTACACCCACAGATGATATAGGATACCTTCTTGCACGAAAATAATTTTCGATATTTCACACACAGTTTCGGATTAACAGCAAAAACGCAGCAAAGGTAATCCAAGTTAATCAAAAGTTTTTTTTTTAATAAACTTTAATTTCTGCTTCTTTAAGATGATGGAATTCAAGACCCAAGGTCTCGTCACAGACCTGATGCCAAACATCAGGCTGATGCAAGCCTCCGGACACTTTCTCTTCAATTACCATGCAGATAACAGCGGAGCTCTGCACACCCTCAGGATTTTCTATTCTTGCGTCCATCTGATACTGATTTTATTACAATTTGGGTGAGTCTTCGATTCGATTGAAGGATCGAGAAATTGAAGACTCCGTTTTTCAGGTGTATTTTCGGTAATTTGGTGCAAGAAGCGGACGACGTTAACGATCTTGCCGCAAACACCATCACCATTCTGTTCTTCACCCATTGCGTTACAAAATTCGTTTACTTTGCGATTCGATCGAAACTGTTTTATCGGACGTTGGGTATTTGGAATTCGCCCAACAGTCATCCACTTTTCGTCGAATCCAACAACAGATACCATTCCATCTCTCTGACGAAGATGAGGAGAGTTCTGATGGTGGTTTTGGCCACTACTCTCATCAGTGCAGTCTGTAATATTCATCGATTCATCAAATTTTTTAAACGTTTTGCTTCAATCATTGTTTCTGTTTGAAAGCATGGACAACGTTGACGTTCATTGGAGATAGTACGCACACGAAGAAGGATCCGAACAATGAAAACGAGACCATCACCGAAGAAATACCCAGGTTGCTGGTTAAAGCTTGGTACCCTTGGAACGCTATGTCGGGAATGCCGTACATGTTATCATTGGTTTACCAGGTAAAACATATTTGATTTCAACTAAATTTTGTGCGTATCAACTAGGAAAAAATCCCGTTTTTTTGAACCTAGACTTGTTGAATGAATGAATTGCTTTAATTATTTGATTTAAAACATAAAAATGTAGACACAAAATCGTCTCTGCTACGTAAAACAAATGAAATCTGAAATTAGTTCTAAGGTTTCAATAACACTTCTCCTTAATTTTACAAAATTTATAAAACGTTTTGACAAAAACAAACATCTAGCGAATTTCTTCCATTAGGCTTAAAAAAAGTTAGATCACTAAGTTTTTTTTTTGACAAATATCAAGATTGTATACAAATTATTATGCGATAGTGAATGCGATAATTAATAGATGCGATGATGAAATCAAAAAAGATAAAATATAGATAAAATTAACTGTACAAAATTATTAATAATTAATATTAATTGCATCAGTAATTATAGAAATCGATATGACTTGAAGAAGTAAACTAGGATGTGTCTTTTATTCTTTGGGTCTGGAAATATGATTGAAACAAAACTACAAGGTTATTTCCAAGAGATAATTAATATCAACACAAAAACCTCTCCCCTTCTTCGCCAGCATAATGGACCTGTATCAACCTGTATACTACTCTGCGATGCTGATTGTCTTTGCCTCTCTGGCACTTCCCCTACATCATGTTAATGCTGGGCTCCACTGCCACTATCCTCGTAAGCCCTCTGCAGCCTCCGCTCGTCTTCTTCTTTGCTTATTAGCACCTCTGATATGTACGCAGCTCTCCGCACTCTTCAGCATTTCACTAATAACATTTTCTAGCTCTAGCAAAACTCCCAATTCTGCCTTCGCCTTGTGCTTCCTTCCAACCCATCTGCAGCACCTAAATAGCGTGTACTCAGTGCTATCGTCCTTTTCACAGTACCAGCACCTTTCGTCCTCCTTTTTCCCGATGAAGTGCAGGTACTTGGCAAAGCATCCATGGCTCAGGTGAAATGTAATATCAACACTAAACCTATCATTTCAAGTACACTTATTATTAATATTTTTCCCCTGAGCTTAAACGAGTCAACACTAGTTTTACCTCGCATTGTGCGACTTCAATTCACTAACCAAATTTCCATTGATTTTTTGTATACAATTGTTTCGAAACGATTTTTACGCAGGTATATTACGTGCTGTTCTCCATGCTCCAATCCAACCTAATGGATGTGCTCTTCTGCTCTTGGCTTATATTCGCATGCGAACAACTGAAACACCTTAAAGCCATCATGAAACCGTTGATGGAACTGTCCGCTACTCTCGACACGTACGTTCCAAAGAGCGCGGATCTCTTCAGAGCGAACAGCGCGAAATCTCAAGACAACTTAATCGAAAATGGTAAATAATTGTTTAAATTAAATCGAAGCTTAATTTTTTAACTTCTTCCAATAGATTACAACAACATGAAGCAGGACTACAAAGGAGTGTACAATACGCAGCAGGAGATGGGCGTGAATTACAGATCCGGTGCGTTGCAAACATTCGGACCAGGAGGGATGAACGGTGGAATCGGTCCGAACGGTCTAACGAAGAAACAGGAGATGATGGTCAGATCCGCTATAAAGTATTGGGTCGAAAGGCATAAGCACGTCGTCAGGTATACAGTAAAACTTTGGAATACTTGAAAAAAATTAGCAAATTGAAATATTGTTGTGTCTATTAGATTGGTCACAGCAATTGGTGATGCTTACGGAGTGGCACTTCTATTCCACATGTTGACTTCAACTATTACCTTAACCCTATTGGCTTATCAAGCTACAAAGGTAAAATTTGAACACTCATACGCATTGAAGATTGATTAATTATTGATATTTCTTTATTGCAGATTGACGGCGTAACCAAATATGCTGCCAGCGTTATCGGTTACTTGCTGTACGCTTTGGCTCAAGTCTTTCTCTTCTGTATATTCGGCAACCAATTGATAGAAGAGGTAAGTCAAACATATTTACATTTGTTATGATGTAATATGTTTCCGTGTATTAGAGTTCTTCTGTGATGGAAGCAGCATACAGTTGTCATTGGTACGATGGATCCGAGGAAGCCAAGACCTTCGTTCAGATTGTCTGTCAGCAGTGTCAGAAGGCTTTGTCCATATCCGGAGCCAAATTTTTCACCATATCTTTGGATCTGTTTGCTTCAGTAAGTTGATCTAATTTTTTTCTTCATAATTACATTTTGGAATTACACTTGGTTCTCTTTTTATGCGGTATATACGTTCTATAGGAAAAACGCATAAAAATAAATCGCACAAAAAAGGACTAGACACACGTATAAAAATAAAGGATACGTTCCATAATTTTTTAAAACCGCATAAAACTGAATCAATGAGTTACAATATACCGAAAATCGCATAAAAAAGGGTTTATTAAATTTCAGAAAAATAATTAGTCTTACTATCTTATTTCTTTCTGAAATGTTTATTCATAATTTTATAAAAACGTTAACAATCATAGACAAGTTTATTAAATTTCAGAAAAATATAATCTTAACATATTCCTTCTAAATTTATACAGACAAATTTTACAAAAAAAAAAATACAGAAAATTTTTATGTAAGTTAATCTTTCTTCACATTTTTTTCTTTAGAATTATCGTCGCTATTTGGGGGTGTTCGGCATAATTTGCGAACTGGTTCCAAATCACTTTCATCACTATAAGAGATAGTCAGCATATCAGATCTATGTCCTGAAGATAATGATTCTTCACAAGTAAAATTAGTCTCAACTTCGCATGTTGATTTTTTCCCTTTGACAATATAATCAGTGATTAAACTTTGCGATGGCTTTGCTATTTTTTTTTTGCTCGCGTTGAAACTTTAATGCTCGTTCAGAATTATCATCTTTTTCGAAATGAAATGGTTTGCCAATTTGTGTCAAAACGTGTCAAAATCGCCTAAAATAGTTATTTCAAGAAGCATTTTTTTTTAAATATAATAATAATAATAACTTCAAAACCGCATAAAAAGAGTACGCATAAAAAGAGGACCTAGTGTAGTATATTGCGTACAATAAACAGTGTATTCTTTTAATACGTTCCGGGTATATCCGCCGACCCGACCTGTTATTTACACTTCGCTTATATCATTAGCCACTAGTCATTTTTTTAAACAAATAATTAATGAAAAAAAAATGACAACAAAATGCTTAAAAATCTAATGAAAATGGCAACAAAATTGCATCAATACACTATTGAATCAAATCCAATTCGCATGCAAATGCTAATTGCACCGGTTGTTCCATATTTTCGTCACTGCACAAATGAAAAGTGACTTTCTATTTTATTATTATTATTATAACAGCGGCCAAAAAGCAAAACAAAACAAAAACACGGCTTTCACGATACATTGCGTTACGCACTTTTTCTACATTTGAACAAAATTTCTACTTTTCATTTTTGTTTTGCAAAAAAAATACATATTTATATATACAAGAAACAAAACTGTCACATTCATTTTAATTGTGAAAACATTTTGTTTTCTTTACATTTTTTTGTTTCTTTAATTAACGCGAAACAGGATTTACTTATAATAATTTAAACTTATGAAATACCTAGAGAACGAGTTTACAGAATTAGACCGTAGTGTACGTGTCGGGACCGTTGTTAAAGATGCATTATTCACTCGCTGTCACATTTGAAATACGAATTGCTAAATGCCACAGGCTTATCCGAATTAATGTTGGTAATAAATTATATGCATCTCTTAAACTATTCGTCAATGTACGCATAACAATTGTTAAAGAATTGTTTATATAATTTCAGTAATTATTATTTTTTTTCTAGGTTCTTGGAGCAACAGTGACATACTTTATGGTGCTGGTACAACTCAAGTAGAGGATCAGAGATATTTGCAAATTTTTCCAAGCATACATTTTTGATGTTGTTGAATTAGAAGGAAATGCATTCTTACGTGTCTTATTTGTAAATAATGTAATCTCAACTCTCAACTTTGAGCGCAAAAAAGTGATTCAGGGCATGATTCAGGGCAATTCCTCGTAGTCCGTCCGTTATTAACAAATATACTTTCTTATTTATTATATATTTATTACTAATAGTTTGTCCTAACGTTACGTAATTTATAGAAGCACCGATGATTTTAATATACTGCAATATTATTAAAACAGAGCGAACATGAACAAAAGTACAATACATGGCTAGGATACAGATTAAGTTAGATTTTAAACGATTATTAAGAAATATTTTAAAAAATACCTGTACCTGTACCTGAAAGCAATAAAGTCTTAGAACGTTCTTAACTGTATGAATCAATATTATTTTCCTAGCGTGAACCAATTGAAATTATTAGTAATTGTGTATAAGTTGCATTTGAACCACTTTGCTGCTATCTGTGCTAGTATTGTGGGCCTAGTCATCGATCTTGGCCCCCTGTCGACGTCCACGAGTACCACCGGTTTGCATTGTCGGGGGCGGCGGCGGAGGTGGCAGCGAAAATAATATCGAAAGAACGATTTCTCGTGATGTGTGCGATGTGATTTCGAATCCGTGCGTTTTCGCCGAAAAAAAATACAAATTTGCCGCCCCCCAACGACCAACCGCCAAGCAATAACCAACATCCACACAATGCTCATGAAGTGACAATCAAGGGGGCGGTAATTATATTCGAACCGTGGCTCGGACGTCTTCACAAACGGCTGTCAAAGTTCAAAGGTGAGTTGTTGTTTTTTTGTTTGACATGTGACATTTCTGACGTTTATTTGTTTACGAACAAAACAATCTGACAAGTAGCATTTCTATCAGACTCAATCAATTTGCACGCTTCGGCCCTTCACGAATAAAACACGAATGGAAAGTGCCTCGACGATACCGAATAAAAAGAGAATTTATCAGAATCCTTTTTGATCCTACAAAATATATCAATTTTAGACTGTCAAATTTTCTCAATTTCTACATTTTTTTCGTCAAAATATACTCCAATAAATATTAAATTTATTTCAATAAAGAAATAAATAAATTTGTTCAAATTTAAATTGATTTTGATAAATTTCAAAATTAAATATTTGAAATTTCTTGTGAAATTATATAATTCAATTTATTCCTTTTTACCATAGAAAATAATAAACATAATAAAGGAATCCAATAAAGTTATCAATAATTGAGATTTTCATCTCGAAATACGTCAAAATTGTGTAATGCACTATCCAGAGACATCTATGATTTTTCATTTTCGAAAATCTTATTTAGCTATGTTAACTGTAGCGACATCTATAAATTTATGCAATATAAAATATTTGTTCAAATTCAATTAGGTCTGTCAACTTAAGTATAGAAATTAATTAAAACTTTTAGTAAAATAATGATTTTTCCACGTTTTATGAGAAAAATAAAATACTTTGAAAGTTCTTAAGGATCACAGTAAAAATGTAAACAATAAAATAACAGTCATTTTTTTTTCTTCCTCCTGCTTCTTTCCTTTAGGAAGAACCTCAACCATTTAGCTACGTCCTGTCGACGCATTACGATAATCGCAATCTAGTTAATAATGAAGTGACAACATAATTCATGACGTTTCTACAGGCGTTATGTGTGTTGCATAACTGTGTCATTAACAACAAATTCGGTTGATAATTTTTAAAACTTTCCAGATTTCCGCGATAGAAAAGTAATTATTCCGATATTATATTTTGATTAAATCTAAATGATGAAATAGTTGATTGTAAACTATGTGCGCGTCCCTTTATTAAAGTTCGTCCGTGCTGCATTCGAGAAAACTTATTAATTGCTTGCAAACTATCTCCAGTCGGATATCGGGGTTAGGTGTTTACACAATTTCCTTCCTCAAACTCCAAACATCCTTCGGTGTTTGAATATGCGAATAACCAGACGGATGACGCAGATCGATAATTTTCCATTATCGCAAAGGGATTTAGTGCCAACTATATTACTATACAACAAATTTCTTCGCAAGCATTTCATTTTCTTTGTTACATTCACACCAGTTTCCAAACTACAGGTTATCGGATTCGAATTTCGCGCAGAGAAAATTCAATAGCAACAATGTTATATGTTGAATTAATAATAATAATATATTAGATGACACAATAAACATCAAAGTATTCATATTTCATATCGATATAACGCATTTAATAAAAAGAGGTCAATTTATAATGAAAGATAATGTGTGGAACAGAGATGTTCAGTACACACAAAATAGTGGATGTGCCGGGTGAAAATTGTTTCGTGCTGAATGTGAAATGTATTATCGCATAATTTATATTCAGGATAAGAAATATTATGTCTAGTTTTGTGCTTTTGTGAGCAAACAGTTTAGTTTATCCAATTTGCTGACATTCGCATTAATATTTAACGAAACACTTAAACACAACATATTCAACAATTGAAATGCATTCGCGGGCCGTGTATAATTGGTTCGAGTGCCAGATGCGGCCCGCGGGCCAATAGTGATTCTTTTTAAATAATAAATAGTACTAATTGAGACTCAACATTAATTGAATATTATTGATCTGGATTAATATTATATAATGAAAATTGTTTGGCCAAAACTTCATTAAGCTTCAAACTAATAAAACGACGGAGAGAATTAATTATATTTTTGAACGAAATTTATATATATTTATATGTGCAGACGTGCTGCAGTGTAAATATTCCCCGGCGCTTTGTTCAACATTAAATAACTGGCGATTTCCGAGAAAATGCACGGACAATTATCCACGATCCATTCGCCTTCGACGAAGGAACAACATAATGGACTTAGACTTAGTCCCTTTTGGGAGGATGACGCGAGCTCAGGGGATGCGCATATTTGCATCCAAAGCACGCTTTCAAATTACTCGTTTTTTTCCATTCGGAAAGCTTTTCTTTCCATTTCAAATAGTTTCCAGAATCTTACTAGGATAATTGAAATCGGGACTCATCCATAACTTAACTTCTTATTGCTTGACTGTAAAGTAACAGGAAACATAAACTGTACGTATTCTATATCAATTGTTTCAATTTCTTTCAATCCATATATTTGCAATTGGGAGAAAACCAAGAAAATGCTTGGAGATTTAAGAAATTTCCCCCTTTTTTTTGCTCTTGAAAGTGTTTATGCTCGAAGAAAAAGATCGTTTTGTGGCGATGCGATAAATATAAATTGGCGAGTAAAAAGAACAAAGAACTTTTGCGGCGGTAGGCAATAAAACAAATCGTGGCCATTTCGTGCAGCGCCGCGAGAAGAGTTTTTTGGTATTGACCTTTTTCATCTTGTGCCCTCTTCCTATTCGTTCCTACTACGTGAATTCAATGGCAATATAGCAATAAACGAAATCATCAATGAATAATCGAAATATCTACTCTGCTACGGATGTAACAAAGGGGCGATGAAGTAATGATGCGAGAAGATCAAAAGAGGGCTACATTTATAGTTTTGACACATCTTTTGTGGGACAATAAGATGAAAAAAACATGGTGGAAATATGTATTTTTTTTTATTAATCGATATGCTATAACTGCTTTTCACGGCGGACTTGTCTACATTTCAACAAGTCACTGTGGCAAGCAAACATCAGTTTCGTCAAGGAAGGAATAGCAAAGGCTAGCACAAGATACCATAATCGGCTAGAGAATTATCCAAACCAACTGGCTACGGAGCTGATGCATACTGCAGATCATCATCGAAGACTGAAGAGGTTTAAACCGCAAGACTTACAAAACCGATTTTAATAATCAATAAATCAATGTTTGCAAGTGGATAAATTGTATATGTGAAGTGAGGTTGCTGGATCATCTCTTCATTAACTATTATAGTGTCTTTTTTTATTTTTATTTTTACCACATTCATAAGGCTTGATATCTATGTAAGATGATAGATTACTTTAATACTAAAATAAAAAAAAATCGATTTGAACAAAACATCTCATTTTTACATTTATGCTTACATCACGAAAAGTATACTAAGCAACCAAATTAAAGCTAAATATTCAGTCTTTAAAACGTGTATTGTATCGTTAGTCATTTAGTCGTAATTCACTGTCAAACTTGAAGAAACTTTTTTTGATGCTTCGATAAAACAGTGTTTTTACATTACATATTTAATCAAGTACATAACTGTGAACTGTGATAATTAAAAGATAATTACGATGTAGTAAAGCAAAATTTGAAAGTGATAATTCTTTGATTTTCATCAACATTCTAGTAACTTGAACTTGGCCGAACTTAATTCGATTATATCGGAAATTGTTGGCACTCAGAGTTGCGCGATATTAGCGAAATCAATTAAACGGAACTTTTTCACACACACAGACAGGTGACAGGAAGAAAATTGGAGAGAAAGGCAGAGCGGAAAAGTCAAACTTCGTACGGATTCGCCCGAACAAAATTAGATTTACCAAACTTGGGGAGGTAACTAACAAGGAAACTTTATTTACCTAAATAGTTCCTAACTTGAAATTAATCCAGATAATCCGCTCCGTAAAAGAAAGACATAATACATGCACTTATTAACATAGGAGATTGCAAATGAAATTCTGTAAGTAACACACGTATCCGATGAAACTTCTCTCTCCTGTTCCGAATGAGTTTATTCAAGTTTCGCATTCTGACAGAGAAAATAATAAATTCTAAATGCAAACTGAAACGCTGCAGCTCGGAACAAAAAGTTTTTACACGTAACAGTCCTTTCAGATCCGGTTATATATATATACATTCTTTCGTCATTCCTTTTCATTCGCATTATTCCAAGCAAACTGTAGGAAACGAAACGTGTCATTTCCGTTTGCACGTGTGCGTCTCTCTATTTATTTTTCGTTTTTCCTCTTTCGCTTCAAATATAATTTGGACGGAAATGCGTTTAGTAAAAGGGGAAAAAAGGTGTACCTGCTTTCGTTGTAGGTCTAGTGTGAGAGAGAGGGAGAGAGAGAGAGGGTTTTTCGGCGAGAAATATGTGAAAAGAAAAGTTGTTATAACTTTCCTCATAAATCCTTTTTTTTTCCGGGGCTTAGGACCACCCCTCTCCGAGGTCTCCACCAACAACTTGTCACGAGAGTCAGAGGCGGCGTTGTCGGCGGTTCACACACACACACTCACAAATTGCGACATTGTTTTTATGCAAGTCATTTGGAAGCATTTAATTCCGTCATCTTAGTTTCATAATTGGATCGTTGAACATCAAAGGGTCGCTTTGATAGCCAGAGAGTCGCGTTTCCAC